ATATATTTTTTTTTTTTATGGATCCTTCTTTAGATTAACAAAAAATGTTTTTTTTTTTATCAAATAAATCTCTGTGGTCACATCTAAACATTAATCTAATGTTGTAATAAAAAAAAAACAGTCGCCTTTCAGAACGTTGAAATGAATATACAGACAAAATAATCACATTCCACATGTCTGTGTTTGTCTGTTTTTGGCCTTTGTTGAGATAAAGTAGGTCATTTATATGTGTTTAGCTATATTTGCCTTGCGTGACGGAGTATTTGACTCTAGTCACCTGATCTGCTGTGTCCTGAGGGCTGTTCTCAGCTGTAACTGAAGACTGTGTTACCTTAGACAGGGGTGTGCTGATTCACTAAGTCTGCGCGTGAATAGGTTGGGTTTCGTTTAAACGTAAAGAACATGGACGTGTAAAGCTGTTGACAGACCTTTTAACCTGTGTAAGTAACCAAGGGTGCGCTGTTTATTTGTTTGTCTGTGCGACAGCCGAGGCAGCTTGCGCTCTCCTGAGGCGCCGGAGGCAGACGATGCAGACGGCGAGGATGCTCGCTTGGAGGCTGAGAGAAAGCTGGAGGAACTGAAGAGGAGAAGAGATGAGATGGAGAGCGAGGAGTTCGAGAGGATGAGGCAGAAACAGCAGGAGGCCGAGGTGGAGCTGGAGGAGCTGAAGAGGAAGAGGGAGGAGAGGAGGAAGGTGCTGGAAGAGGAGGAGCGGCAGAGGAAGCAGGAGGAGGCTGAGAGGAAAGCCAGAGAGGAGGTGTGTTCGCTTTACGTCAATGAGTTATTTCCTGGTCAGGGATTTGCTTCGCGTAGCTTTTCTGTGAGCGAAAATCTTGATGAGGGTCCTGTCAGCAAAATTAGGTCACTTCTGTAAACACTGCATTTTGAATAGCATATAACCATGCTTGGATGTTTTATGGATGTTCATTGAGAATTTAAACCTTAAAAACAGTAAATTGATCTTAATTTAGTGGCTAATCAAAGATATTAGGCTCTTATTTCAGTCCATAAAACAATCAAGAACTCCATTTACCATGGTAGCTTTATTCCACACAAAAAAATGCATCGCATACAGAAATATTGGGTAAATTATTCCATATTTTTGTGTAACAAATTTTAAAAGGCAAAGCTCATAGTGCATTGTGACAAGTTTGGTGACAGAAAACAAACAGTTCAAAAGAGAATGAATAAAATTAATGCTTTTATTCAGTCAGGATGAATTAAATTGATCAAATGAGACGGTAAAGACATTTATCTCAAATAAATGCTGTTCTTTTGAACTTTCTGTTCATCAAATAATCCTGAAAAAAAGTATCACGTTTTTCACAAAAAATATTAAGCAACACAACTGTTTTCAGCATTGATATCAATAATAAATGTTACTTTAACACAGCATATTAGATGTTACATTGTTACTTTAAATCAGCATATTATAATGATTTCTGAAGGATCATGTGACACTCAAGACTGGAGTAATGATGAATGATGATTGTTGATTCAGCATTGCATCAAAGGAATAAATTACATTTGAAAATATATGAAATAAGAAAACAGTCATTTTAAATTGTAATAATATTTCACAATGTTGCTGTGTTGCTGATCAAATAAATGAAATCTAAAAAATCTTACCAACTCCAAACTTTTCAACATTAGTGTTTAAACTACTATATTTCACTCATTACTGGAAAAAAAATTATAAAAGTGGTTCAGTCTAATAGAAAGAATGTACTATTTTACCCAGCATTTGTGAGTACTGTGTGCATTCATGCTTAAGAGTATCATATTGTTAGCTTAGCTTTAAGAGTAATTTGATATTTGATATTGTGGGCAGTCGTGGCCTAATGGTTAGAGAGTCGGAATTGTAACCCAAAGGTTGCGGGTTCGAGTTTCAGGTCCGGCAGGGATTGTGGGTGGGGGGGGAGTGAATGACCAGTGCTCTCTTCCACTCTCAATACCACGACTGATGTGAGACCCTTGAGCAAGGCACCGAACCCCCAACTGCTCCCCGGGCGCCGCAGCACATGGCTGCCCAAATGAAATCTAAAAAATCTTACCAACTCCAAACTTTTCAACATTAGTGTTTAAACTACTATATTTCACTCATTACTGGAAAAAAAATTATAAAAGTGGTTCAGTCTAATAGAAAGAATGTACTATTTTACCCAGCATTTGTGAGTACTGTGTGCATTCATGCTTAAGAGTATCATATTGTTAGCTTAGCTTTAAGAGTAATTTGATATTTGATATTGTGGGCAGTCGTGGCCTAATGGTTAGAGAGTCGGAATTGTAACCCAAAGGTTGCGGGTTCGAGTTTCAGGTCCGGCAGGGATTGTGGGTGGGGGGGGAGTGAATGACCAGTGCTCTCTTCCACTCTCAATACCACGACTGATGTGAGACCCTTGAGCAAGGCACCGAACCCCCAACTGCTCCCCGGGCGCCGCAGCACATGGCTGCCCAGGGTGTGTTCATGGTGTGTGTGGGTGTTCACTACTGGGTGTGTGCACTTGGATGGGTTAACTGCAGAGCACAATTCCGAGTATGGGTCACCATACCTGGCCACACTTCACTTTCACTTTCTTTTTTTCTTTATATTAGGCAATCTGTGGCTATGGTGTCAATTATGAAACTGTTGTACTCACAGTATCGGTATTGAACCCCCGTCGTAATTTAAACGAATTCCACATCATTTACATTAACATTAGCGTGATCGCACCCAGTGTGAGTTCCACATGACTGCACATGAGTTTCAGACTCCGGCTTTCTCAGCAGCGGGCAAGAAACACAGGCGTCCCTCCTCGTGGAGACCTGCTCCTAGCATTGTAATGCAAATATGTTCCTTGTTCCTAATGAACAGAAGCAGTAAATGAAAAAGGACTAATTAGAGATTAGAGGGCTCAGCTGATGCTAGCGGGCCGTGCCAAAATCCGTGGTGTAAATAAAAAAGCTTCTTTATGATTTCCCAGCTGCTGTGGAATGCGTCGGCTGCCAGTTCACGTTATGCATCCGCAGAGAGACCGTCTTGATTTTGTTGTCCATTCGTCTCATTATAATCCTCGTTTATTGCAAAAAGGACATTTTCTAGAACATGAAGATCCTAGGTTTGTCTGCTGGTGGTGGTGGTTTTGTGTGTGCCGTCTATCTGTTTGAGGTGATGAATGTGTGTTTATTTTATTCTTCAGGAGGAAAAGAGGAGGATGAAGGAGGAGATCGAGAAGAGAAGAGCAGAGGCGGCCGAGAAGAGGCAAAAAGTGGAGGATTCAGAGGAAGGAGAGGCCAGGAAACCCTTTAAGTGTGTCAGTCCCAGAGGATCCTCCCTGAAGGTCAGTCGTTGCCCTCTCTCTCTCTCTCTCTCTCTCTCTCCACAGCTGTCAATCACCCGGCAGCACAGCGTCAGCTGATTCATAGGAACACGCTGTCCCTATGAAAAAGGAATTATCTGCCATATCTTGTAAACATAATGAGGAGGAGAACAACTTGATGATTGTGCATTAATGCAGCTGGTGTGCACTGAAGCTTGTATGTGCTAGTTTACGGGAATAACCCCTTTTGTTACCGTTTTCCACCAGAGTAGCATAGTTACAACAGTTACTGTTTGTAAAAAAAAAAAAAAAAAAAGTTCCCCTTTGTTAACTGTATTTAATGCATTTACTAACTGCTTGTTTTCTTTAAAAAAA